TATATATATATATATATAGTACTGTTATTATACCTACATTACCATACACTCGGGTGATTTTAAAATTCATATAATTTATTAACTATTGTGCAGGCAAATATGAGTTGTTAAAGTGGCAGAATGTTTAGGCTTCAAGTCTCTTGTTCAAATAGGACCCGAATATTTGCATTTTTTCAATGATTTTAGCGTTGAAATCGTTCTGTTCGGTCATGGGGAATTGTTTTTATGGCGGGTACTTGTGGCTATCTCTAGCTTTGGAGGTTTATTATTGATGGAGGAAGTTGTTGTGAAGCTCTACATTTTGTTTCCATTTTGCATAGTGATGAACTTGATAGAGATAAGCAGCCTGTCTTCCCTGTGGGTGAGTCGCGATGAGAGGCAGTGAGGCGAGGGCCAACTTCTTGCCTAGATAGCTGGTCCTGTCTTGGATTTAATTAAATAAGTTAAAGTAACGTAAGGCTGTCGACAGGAATCTCAAATTAGTTTGGGACAGTTGAGAGGCGGGACCAAAGAGCCGGAGCTCAAGCCCCGCAAGCACTATTAAGTGACAATTAGGTGAGTACACACACACACACACACACACGCACACACACACACATACAAACACACACACACACACAGGGGCCTGGTAGCCTGGTGGATAGCGCGCAGAACTCGTAATTCTGTGGCGCGGATTCAATTCCCGCACGAGGCAGAAACAAATGGGCAAAGTTTCTTTCACCCTGAATGCTCCTGTTACCTAGCAGTAAATAGGTACCTGGGAGTTAGTCAGCTGTCACGGGCTACTTCCTGGGGTGTGTGTGTGGTGTGGACAGAAAGAGAGAGAAAAAAAGTAGTTAGTAAACAGTTGAGAGGCGGGCCGAAAGAGCAAAGCTCAACCCCCGCAAACACAACTAGGTGAATTCAAACACACACACACACACGGGGCCTCGCGGCTGAGTGGATAGCGCTGGGGGGTCGTAGACCTAATGGCCCGGGTTCGATTCTCGGCGGAAGCGGAAACAAATGGGCAGAGTTTCTTTCACCCTGACGTCCATGTTCACCTAGCAGTAAATAGGTACCTGAGAGTTAGACAGGTGCTACGGGCAGCTTCCACGAGATGTGTGTGAGCATATGTTAGAGTGAAATATATATGTAGCTGACATAATATAGGGAAAAATAGAGAGGTTAGAAAAGCGGGGTCCAAGAGCTAATAGCTTGATTCTGCGGACACAAATGGTAAATACGCACATACACACAAAATATAATTAAAGAGTAAACAATTTAATCATATTAGCAAATTCTCTCGGAAATTTGATTTATTTCCCTTTCGTCAATCTTTTTTATGGGAAAAAATACATATCTTATGTTACCAAAACTGCTTTCAAAATAAACCATATTTACTACGCTCTGCTAACCGGGTTTAACCACCTAACAGAGGTAGTTCCCTGGAGTTGTTGGAGCTGAATTAAAGGACGAATAGATGCAGAAGACCAGAGAGTCCAGTTATAATCCAGGTGTTCCCTTGTTGTAGTGTAATCCTGTGTTAAGTTGGGCCTTTCAGTCATTAATGTCATGAAGCCTGCTCATGGGACCATCCTGTAATGTTAATTTGCTCACAGGGGTCTTCGTGTCATGGAGCTTGCCCACAGGGACTTTCCTGTGATGTTAACTTGCCCGCTTCTCATGTTAACCATGCCCACTGGGGCCTCTCCTGTTGTCAACTTGTCAAGGGGGCCACTTCCTTTCAGGTTAGCCTGCCCTCATGATATTTTAGCTTATACCAGTGATGACTGTATCATCAGGCTTGAAACCGGCTCCCTGTTAGTTGCTCTCTCTCTCTCTCTCTCTCTCTCTCTCTCTCTCTCTCTCTCTCTCTCTCTCTCTCTCTCTCTTGCGCTCTTTCACTCACTCTCGTTACTCTTTCTGGCTGTCCCTCTCTTTCGCTCCTTTGACTTGTTCTCGCTCACAATATTTCTATCTCTCTCTCTCTCGTCCCTCTCTCTTGCTCTCACTCACAATCTCTCTTTTTCTCTCCCTCTCGCTCACACCCTCAGCCTTCCTCTCTCCCGCTCGCTCACACTCTCAGCCTCCCTCTCTCCCTCTCTCTGACTCATCTCTCCTTCCTCATATCTGCGGCTCCCACGGTACACACACACAGTAACTCACCAGATATTCGCGTTGCTGTTTCCTTAATAGCGTTCTTTATCGCCTTGCTCGTGGTTCATCATCTCATTCCTGTCCACCATTATTGTGTTATTGCTCCTCTTGCCTCAGTCTACGTTTCTTCCTTCTCTACCTCTCATCCTTCAGTCTTGTTTCTTCGTCAGGGAAGGTCTCGGGTTTTGTTTTCAAGTGGGACTGTTGTTGGGACTATTTTGGTTTAAAGTCAGATTTTTGTTGGGATTATTTTGGTTCAAAGTCAGACTTTTGTTGGGATTATTTTGGTTTAAAGTCAGACTTTTGTTGGGATTATTTTGGTTTAAAGTCAGATTTTAGTTGGGATTATTTTGGTTTAAAGTCAGACTTTTGTTGGGATTATTTTGGTTTAAAGTCAGATTTTTGTTGGGATTATTTTGGTTTAAAGTCAGACTTTTGTTGGGATTATTTTGGTTTAAAGTCAGATTTTTGTTGGGATTATTTTGGTTTAAAGTCAGACTTTTGTTGGGATTATTTTGGTTGAAAGTCAGACTTTTGTTGGGATTATTTTGGTTTAAAGTCAGACTTTTGTTGGGATTATTTTGGTTTAAAGTCAGACTTTTGTTGGGATTATTTTGGTTTAAAGTCAGACTTTTGTTGGGATTATTGTAGTTTAAAGTCAGATTTTTGTTGGGATTATTTTGGTTTAGGTGAATTTAAAATAGAAGAAAATGTAACATTCTCATATCAAAATTATGTTTATAATAACCTTACCATGTAGTCTATGGACGGGGGGGTTTCAGAGCGACTTTCTCTCTCTCTCTCTCTCTCTCTCTCTCTCTCTCTCTCTCTCTCTCTCTCTCTCTCTCTCTCTCTCTCTCTCTCTCTCTCTCTCTCTCTCTCTCTCTTGGGGAAAAACATGAAGAGTATTTTGAATTTGTTTCGCATTTTCCAAAACTTGGAGTGATCGGTACAGTGATGCCCTTGATTCATTTGGGTCGGTGTTCGATCTTCTATAGTCCAAGTGGTTGAAGGCACCGTTCAATCCTCCTCCGTCCTATACCCAGCTCCTTATACTTATATCCCTTCCAAGTGTTATCTAGTCGTACGCCTCAACGCTCTCCCCGAGTTATTATCTTACCTTCCCTCTCTTTGTTTACAAACAACGAGAGATCTGCCGAAGAAACTTTTTTACGTGTGTCGTACAGCTTTAGTGCTCCTCTCTTACCTTACTTTCTTTTAATAACTAACCTTGCCCATTTATATAAAATAAAGCGGGTTTGTTTTTTTATTTCCTTTATTAGGAGTCATCTGGCATGTTAGGTACAAGGATTAGTTGAAAACATCTTTGTGTCTAGTCTTTCAGTTGGTCAGTTGACCTCGTTTCTCGATAATATTAACATTGTGAGTAAACAATCAAAATAGGCAAAAGGCAGGAATGAACGCCAGCAGATGGAGTCATATTCATAATAATGGCCCAAGAAGCATGAGGCTATGACTGAGCGTCTTGTGTTGTAGTTGCCGTCTGCTAATTAGCCCAGTAGAAAACTTATCAACATTGGCTGCTTTCTCTGTCTTTCCCATAGCACAAGAAAATATTTGGAAATAAATAAGGCATTGAAGTAAAAACAATTTTCATTCACCAATCATTTATTTAACAAGAAGACTGTCCAGCCCCTATCATACAAGAATATTACTGTTCCTTAGTATGAGCAAAAACTGCTTATTCAATAACACTAATTAGAATAAACAGACCATTCCTAAAACTATTGTATGGCACTGGGCTCTTGTTAAAGTCACCCATTAAATACTCTATCACCACATATCGAGTGTAGGTCATGTAATAAGTTCTGTATTGCCACATGTAGGGTTAAAAGTCATGTATTAACTGCTGTATCACTATACAGCATATATACACCATACACCATATATGTATCACCATACATTGGGTTATAGTAATGTAATAAATGCTTTATCATCACACGCTGAGTTAAGCATATCAAATACTCTGTCATTCTCATTAGTCCAGAAAAACATGGTTTCCAATGCTTTTTAGTATCATAAAAGCCTTACTAAAGGTTTTATATATCAAAAGTGCATTTAATTCGTTTGCCTGTGTCACTTACATATGAGTTTGTTGCATAATGTAAAAATGTATATAATCTGGTTTGATTTTCTTTGGAATTGTACAAAAGTATTGTAAACAGACTTTATTTATTTTTTATTTCGTTTTGCATATATTGTCTAAATAAAGGTTATACCACAAAAAGCAGCTCTGAGCGCGTATGTCAAGAACAGTCGGAGGTAAATACCTATATTGTATAGGCTGCTCTGTTTTGTTATATGTTTAAAAATTGCGAATTTGCTATGCCTGACTTTGTGACAGGTAGAGGAATAGTCTTTTCATATCTGTCTATGAAATGGCTCTGATACATCACTCACTCCTAGGGTCTAGCCTCATCTATCTCTCCTTACGGCTAGACACATCTGTCTGTCCCTAGTATCTCACGATTCAAGCAAGAACAATGTCTTTCCTCTCAATGCCTTTAGCCTCCACAATACCTCCATGATACCTCTCTCAGCCTCCATGATACCTCTCTCAGCCTCCATGATACCTCCCTCAGCCTCCATATGCCTCCCTCAGCCTCCACAACGCTTATCTCCAGCTTCAGAGGGATGCCCGTATGTTCGTCTGCCTGAGAGCTTCTGTGGCCAAGACCTTTGACCACTACTAGACCAGAATCCTCTTTGAGTCCCCTCTGAGTGATCCTCCAGCACAATGTTTATATTTCTATTGTGCTGAGAACGCACTGATATATATATATATATATATATATATATATATATATATATATATATATATATATATATATATATATATATATATAATGTGTGTAGGGCGTATGTGTATGGATGGGTGTTTTTTGTGTGTATAGGGAGTGTATGTATGTATGTGGAGCAGGAGAGATGGGTGTATCTATGTGGGTAGTTTATATGTATAAGTGGGGGATGGGTATATGTGTGTGAGGCTGTATATGTGTATGTATATATGCGAGGAGCGTGCATGTTTGATGCAGTGACTTTCTATGTATTTCACTACTGAGGAACATAACCCGACCTTTGTATATCCCCACTGTCTTCCATGTAACACGTCACTTTGTAGTGGCCAAAGTGAGGCCTGATAACACGACATTCTGGACAAAAAATCTGGTTTTATTTTTAACTCTCAAGTAAACTGGAATCGTCTTAAAAGCTATGTTGAGTTCTCAGGAGTGTGGCTTTAATTCTTGTTATAAAATCGAGATCATTCTCGTTAGCGTCACAAATACGGTGATAAACTTTATTTCCTCTCCCTTGAATGAGCAGAAGTAAATCTCTCGCACCTTCTTGTCTCTCTAAGTTCATGTGACTGCGCTCAGATAAACTTTCTTAGCGTCATATTTATGTCACGACTTAATTGTCACCTAGACGCTAACAACAGTATTTATTGTTAAATAAATAACAATCAGGATTGTTTTCAGGAGCTCCAGATGTAGAACTAACGTTAGATTTAGTAGCTACAACAGGAACAAGAAATTCCACGAGAATAACATCAGAAAAGTCTGAGAACTATCCCCAACAAAAAAATTATTTGAAGAACACAAATAGCAGCGGCAGTTACAATAGAAATAGCAAATGTTTATAGAAGATGAGACAAAACAGATGTAATAATTGCAATATAATAAGCTAGAACAGAAGTTGCATTGCAAGAACAGGACAAGAGACACACAAGCAGCAACGGTGACAACAAATTTACTGAGGAGCAATGGAGGAAGATTTGTAGGAGGTAAACACAAGACTTGAGGGAGACACCGGCCAACAACAGCACCATTACACAGGCGACATTCGGTTCTGTGAAGAACTTTTTTAACACAACTCTCCATCCCTGAGTGGTGTGTCCTGCAACATGAACACTCAGTGGAAGCAACAGAATCAGATCCAGCAGCAGTAGCAGTAGCAGCATCTTCAGGAACAGTAACACCATCTTCAGGAACAGTAACACCATCTTCAGGAACAGTAGCAGCCTCTTCAGAAACAGTACCAGGATCACATGGAACAGTTTCAACAGGTTCATCATGGGCTACAGACATTTCCAAGGTTTATATTATGATAAGAATAAGTTATGAATAAGTTCTTGTACGATAGACGTTTCAGTTCGTCCTTTCTGGGTTCCATGTGACTCACAAGCAACAGTAGAACCATTAATAGGGAGCTCAGAGGCAGCACCAACACAAAAAAGGAGCATCGACATCAACAATAACGGCAGAATCAACAGTAGCAGCAACAGAACAAGCAGAAACAACAAAGAACGAGGGAGCGAACTGACTTTACTTAACTACACCACTGTTATAACCATAAACGTCTTCATCGTCATCAATAGACGTAGAAACTGTAGCAGTAGACGTAACAGACGCAAAAAGTGTAGCAGTAGACGTATCAACTCTATCAACAAGACACTTCACCCTTCTTGCCTTTTCTTGGTACTGCGTCCAGCACATTCGCCGTCTCTGACCGTCTTAAACTGGTATAACAGAACACATTAAAAGTAGCAGACGAAGCAGCACCAGTAGCAGGAGAGGTGAGGGAGAGAGAGAGTGAGGAAGTGCGGAGGAAGAGAAAATAAGATACGCTCCTTTCAAACTTTCCTCAGCCTCAGAGTTCTCTTGACTTTTCTTGGTTCGACCTCCAGCGGTGAAGCCGACTTTATCTGTGTGGCGGAGAGCAGCAGGAGAGGAAGGTGTGGAGGAAGGAGGAGGCGAGGCAGGCCAGCAACATGATGCCTCTCCACGAAGATGCTCTGGACCCTCTCTGGATGGCCGCCGGGTACTCGTCTGAGGGAGAAGTGGAATAGTCTTACCGACTGAGAGGCACGGAGAGTGGGGAAGGAGCAGGGGCAGAGATATAACAGGGAGAAGATTGGGAGAGGCAAGAGGCGTGGGAGAGGCTTGGAGAGTGAGAGGGGTAAAGAGGACATGAGAGGCACGGAGAGAGAGAGAGGTAGAACAGAGAGAGTGACAGAAGTAGGAAGAGTGAAGGAGGCAAGGGGAATGGTACCAATGAGAATGGTAGAGCAGACACAGTGAAAGAGAGAAAGCTGGGATAGTGAGAGAAACAGGTGAAAGGTAGAAGGAGAGACTAGGATAGTGGAAGAGGAACGAGGAGTAGGAGAGGGGGCGAAGCAGAGGCACGTGAAAAAAAGTAGGGAGGGATATATATTGTGAGAGATAAAGAAATAGATTAGAAGAGAGAATAAAATGGAATGTAGAGCATGTAAAACTGGAGGAGGTGCATGAACGCACGCACACACACACACACACACACACACACACACACACACACACACACACACACACACACACACACTCACACACGAATTGGAAGATAATTCCAATAATAATAAGAAAAGTAATTTTAATAATATCAATGAACAAAATAATTGCATTGGTTAACTGCCAAATCAACATAGCTGACCTGACATCAGGTCTATACCTTGAACCTGAGAACAGGTCAATAATTTTGATTTAAAGGAACTTAAACATCAATATAGTGCAAATTCTAAATTATTGATTTAGAGATTAATCAACATTGAACGTTAATGAAGGACATTACATCAACATTAATAGTGTTAAATCCGTAGTCTTGACTGAATAACACCACAACACAGAAGTTTAAGTGGTGATCAACCACAGATAATTTTAATTAACGTAACTATCATTAATTTAAGATCGAAATTAAAATGTTAATTTGGTGATAAAATATACTCTCTTCTAGCTCTAATAATTATGAAATCTTGGTTTAAAAGTAATTTTACTATGTCTATTTAATGACATTGAATTACTGTGAAGCATACCCCCTTGTGTAAACATCACATCAACATCATCAATTCATTAAACCATGAATATTTTTGCCACGACCATAATAAAAATAATATTAATAATGTCAAATGTGATTATAACCATTCAAAATCAAATTTACCAAACCTCGTATGACTAAGAAGCAAAAATCGCCATCGAATCAAAAATACAATTTGCCACAGAAACCACAAATCACAAAATTGAATCAGATTACAGGGGCGGGGGGGAGTAGAGGAGGGGGGAGATAAAGCTGTAATCACAAAGTCTAGAACTGAAACCAATTTGCGAAGTCAACAAACTGTGATCAAGCTGGAAGTCTGGCTTGGCAAGCCTTGTGTTATTTGAGTCCCTAGGTAATAACAGAAGCTGTTGTCAGATCATGTTCCCTTGGAAAATAGCTTAAAACTATATATATATATATATATATATATATATATATATATATATATATATATATATGTCGTACCTAATAGCCAGAATGCACTTCTCAGCCTACTATGCAAGGCCCGATTTGCCTAATAAGCCAAGTTTTCATGAATTAATGTTTTTTCGTCTACCTAACCTACCTAACCTAACCTAACCTAGCTTTTTTTGGCTACCTAACCTAACTTTACCTATAAATATATGTTTGGTTAGGTTAGGTAGGGTTGGTTAGGTTCGGTCACATATCTACGTTAATTTTAACTCCAATAAAAAAAATTGACCTCATACATCGAGAAAAGGGTTGCTTTATCATTTCATAAGAAAAAAATTATAGTAAATATATTAATTCAGGAAAACTTGGCTTATTAGGCAAATCGGGCCATGAATAGTAGGCTGAGAAGTGAGTTCTGGCTACTAGGTACGACATATATATATATATATATATATATATATATATATATATATATATATATATATATATATATATATATATTTATTTATCAGTGTTTCTCGTTAAATATTTGCAACGTGTATTGAAAATATGGAGACTTTTGATATATGGAATTGGAGCGTTTAGTGTAGTGAAAGGAGCTGTAGAGATTGAAGCGTTTAGTGTGGCGATTAAGCTGGAAGATTAAATAAAAGCTGAGTGGATTTGTTTTACATGAATGTATACACAGGTTGTTCGTGTGTTTGTGTTTCAAAAATATTTGTTTGATACTTTTAGAGTGTTAGTGTGATTTGGAAGTTTGAGAGTGTATGTTTTTAGGGTGTACTTGGCTAAAGGGAAGGAAACTATCAGGGGAAAAAGCGCCAAGCCAATACGGCTATATAGCACTGGGAAGGGATCAGGATAAGAATTTGGGATGGGACGGAGGAGAAGGAATATGGCCAAACCACTTAATCGGTCGAGGATTGAACGCCGACCTGCATAAAGCAAGACTGTCGCTCTACCGTCCAGCTCCACTGATAGCGTGTTTTGTGAACATTTGTTTGCTTTTGGCTAAGAACGTTGTGATATTTTTAAAGTGTTTTGGTGGAGAGTTAGCTGTGGCTTACACTTGTTGCTTGTGTGTACGCTACTACTCAAAGTAGAGTTTGAGTAGTTTGGTGGAGTTTGTTTGTTTTCAGATGACATCTGAAAACAGTTGTGTTGCGTTCCAAATGGGAAATTGGCAATCATTAAGAGGTCATTTGAAAGCCAAAATATAGACTCTTTCTTGACAAACTTCACAATCAATCAATTCAAGCTTCCTACTACTACAATTACCACCACACTCACCACTGACACCAGTACACTGACCACTACTCCACCTACACCACTACACTGACCACTACTCACCACCTACACCACTACACTCACCACCTACACCACTACACTGACCACTACTCACCACCTACACCACTACACTCACCACCTACACCACTACACTCACCACCTACACCACTACACTGACCGCCACTCACCACCTACACCACTACACTCACCACCTACACCACTACACTCACCACCTACACCACTACACTGACCGCCACTCACCACCTACACCACTACACTCACCACCTACACCACTACACTCACCACCACTCACCACCTACACCACTACACTCACCACCTACACCAGTACACCCGTACACCCACCACCTACACCACTACACCCACCACCACCCACCACCTACACCACCACACCCACCACCTACACCACTACACCTACCACCACCCACCACCTACACCACCACACCCACCACCTACACCACTACACCCACCACCTACACCACTACACCTACCACCACCCACCACCTACACCACTACACCCACCACCTACACCAGTACACTCACCACCTACACCACTACACCCACCACCTACACCACTACACCCACCACCTACACCACTACACCCACCACCACCCACCACCTACACCACCACACCCACCACCTACACCACTACACCACCCACCTACACCACTACACCCACCACCACCCACCACCTACACCACTACACTCACCACCTACACCACTACACTCACCACCTACACCAGTACACCCACCACCTACACCACTACACCCACCACCTACACCACTACACCCACCACCTACACCACTACACCCACCACCACTCACCTGGTACCACGTGTATAGTGACGCTGGTAGCCGCCAGGTGGGTAACGTTACAATAGTAAGTACCGGAGTCTTGTCTGACAGCGTTACTAACTCGGAGCCACGACCGGGCCACAGAACCTCGCAGCTCCGTCTTGACGCTGTGGGGAAGAGTGCCAGGATCAGTACTGTTTTGGCGCTGTGGAGAGTGTGCCAGAGTCAGTACTGTGTTGATGCTGTGGAGGGAGAGTGCCAGAGTCAGTACTGTGTTGATGCTGTGGAGGGAGAGTGCCAGAGTCAGTACTGTGTTGATGCTGTGGAGGGAGAGTGTGCCAGAGTCAGTACTGTGTTGATGCTGTGGAGGGAGAGAGTGTCAGAGTCAGTACTGTGTTGATGCTGTGGAGGGAGAGTGCCAGAGACAGTACTGTGTTGATGCTGTGGAGGGAGAGTGCCAGAGACAGTACTGTGTTGATGCTGTGGAGGGAGAGTGTGCCAGAGTCAGTACTGTGTTGATGCAGTGGAGGGAGAGTGTCAGAGTCAGTACTGTGTTGATGCTGTGGAGGGAGAGTGCCAGAGACAGTACTGTGTTGATGCTGTGGAGGGAGAGTGTCAGAGTCAGTACTGTGTTGATGCTGTGGAGGGAGAGTGCCAGAGACAGTACTGTGTTGATGCTGTGGAGGGAGAGTGCCAGAGACAGTACTGTGTTGATGCTGTGGAGGGAGAGTGTGCCAGAGTCAGTACTGTGTTGATGCAGTGGAGGGAGAGTGTCAGAGTCAGTACTGTGTTGATGCTGTGGAGGGAGAGTGCCAGAGACAGTACTGTGTTGATGCTGTGGAGGGAGAGTGTCAGAGTCAGTACTGTGTTGATGCTGTGGAGGGAGAGTGCCAGAGTCAGTACTGTGTTGATGCTGTGGAGGGAGATTGCCAGAGTCAGTACTGTGTTGATGCTGTGGAGGGAGAGTGCCAGAGTCAGTACTGTGTTGATGCTGTGGAGGAAGAGTGCCAGAGTCAGTACTGTGTTGATGCTGTGGAGGGAGAGTGCAAGAGTCAGTACTGTGTTGATGCGTCAATCAACAGGTGTACAGATTCCTGAGCCTATCGGGATCTGTCATATCTACACTTGAAACTGTATATGGAGTCAGCCTCCACCACATCACTTCCTAATGCATTCCATTTGTCAACCACTCTGACACTAAAAAAGTTCTTTCTAATATCTCTGTGGCTCATTTGGGCACTCAGTTTCCACCTGTGTCCCCTTGTGCGTGTTCCCCTTGTGTTAAATAGACTGTCTTTATCTACCCCATCAATTCCTTTCAGAATCTTGAATGTGGTGATCATGTGTGTGTGTGTGTGTGTGTGTGTGTGTGTGTGTGTGTGTGTGTGTGTGTGTGTGTGTGTGTGTGTGTGTGTGTGTGTGTGTGTGTGTGTACTTCACATGTACTTCAATAGTCAGCTGAAAATTTTATTTGTCGCCGTCGACTGTATCTGCCTTTGTTGTCAGCAATGATATTGGTATTGTTGGTGGTGCTGGCGACAGTGGTGGTCGTGGAGATTGTGGCGGTGGTCGTGGTGATGGTGGTGGTGCTGGTGGTCGTCGTGGTGAGAGTCGTAGTGGTGGTGGAGGTCGTGGTGGTGCTAGCGATGGTGGTGGTGGTAATTGTGATGGTGCTAGAACTGGTGGTGGTGTTGAAAGTGTTGGTGCTGACTTGGTGGTGTTGTAAGTACTGTTGGCGCTGTTAATGTTATTACTACATCTTTCACAACCAACAACTTCTGCTACCACTACAACTCGTGGTGCTCAGGCCACAACTACATATTTAAATCAACTACAACTTCTAATAATAACAATACTGATGCAACAATTATTATTCACATTTAATAAAAATAACTACTACTACCTTCAATAATTATAATAAAAATAATAATAATAATAATTTGTGATCAATTTGACAATAGAATAAGTTTTACTTAAATCAACAATCATATTTGCATATCAGAATTTACGAAGTTCTTTATTGAATATAATTTTTTTTCAATTCTTATCTTCGTCAACTAGGTATAGTGTTTTTTATAAAAAAGACTAGAAACGAGTGTTCGATCCTACCGCAGTATACTTTCATGATCCGGTCTGGTAACTTTGTCATTGAAAAGCGTCTGAATATCGTGTGGGAGAAAAGCGATGGGGAAAAAAATTGATATTCACGTAATATTCACCTGTGCGGTGTATTTATGAACGGATTTACCTTGGTTTTACCTGTGACCTTATGTTGGTTGAGCATGATGGCTGTGAGCGGCATGAGGCTGTGTTAAAGGAGAGGTGTGGGGAAGATTCTCTCTATCTCTCTCTCTCTCTCTCTCTCTCTCTCTCTCTCTCTCTCTCTCTCTCTCTCTCTCTCTCTCTCTCTCTCTCTCTCTCTCTCTCTCTCTCTCTCTCTCTTATTTGAGCATATTTGTGCATGCGATTATTGGGGGATTAAGTCCACGTCTCCTTGGTTTCAGGCCAACAAGGGAGTATGTGCCCTTTACAAGGCCAACATGGACGTAGTTGCCATGTTTCCAGGCCTACATGAACGTAGTTGCCATGTATCCAGGCCAACATGAACACAGTTGCCATGTTTCCAGGCCAACATGAACATAGTTGCCATGTTTCCAGGCCAACACGAACATAGTTGCCATGTTCCCAGGCCAACATAAACATAGTTGCCATGTTTCCAGGCCAACACGAACATAGTTGCCATGTTTCCAGGCCAACATAAACATAGTTGCCATGTTTTCAGGCCAACATAAACATAGTTGCCATGTTTCCAGGCCAATATGAACACAGTTGCCATGTTTCCAGGCCAACATAAACATAGTTGCCATGTTTTCAGGCCAACATAAACATAGTGGCCATGTTTTCAGACCAATATGAACACAGTTGCCATGTAGCCAAGGCAACAACAACAACGCAATTGCCAAAGTAATTGGAGAGAGGGTTTTGTGTACTTAATCGGAAGAGTGTAGTGAAGGGCGGGGTTCCCTTACCACCGGCTCAGCAGAATCATTGTTGCTGACGGCATTGAGTTTTGGTCTGAGTAGTTTGTGAGCAATTTGAGCGCTGTTGCCTGGGATTGGCGTGGGTGCCGTGGAATTAGTGATTGCCGGGGGCAGCTCAGCACTTACTTCACTGCCTGTACGAAATTGGTCAGAGTCGATAAGTGGTTCCTATCTTACCATGTCAGTTGGAATGAGTTTGATATCGTTGCCATTTTTTCCTCTGGAACGTACCTGACACTATCGTGAGAGTCGAATTTGTTGAGTTTGTTGTTGCCATGGTTTAAGGACCAGCTGGATCAAGGCTGTTGTGGCTGTCATGGTTGCCAGATACGTACCTGACGCCGCCCCGGGAGTCGTCATAGTTGAGTCTGTGGTTGCCATGGTACCATGCCATTTGGAGCGAGGTTGCCGTGGGAACGTCGGCCACGTGACACTGGAGTTCGATGGTGGAGCCTGCACGGTAGAACTTCTCTCTTAGCTCCACCCCGCGCTCGTCCAGGATCTGGATGGCGGCCTCTGGAAGGACAAGGACATTGGAACTTTATAGTGTAAGATCAACCGCTGCCGTTCGTTCAGGATCAGAATGGCAGCTTTGTGGGGGACCTTAATCACTTGAAAGCTAAAGTGTCAGACCCACGAACAGCGTTCGTCAAGGCTCTGAATAGTAACCTCTGGAAAGACGAGACCGTTTTCCTGGAAACTTTGAGTGATGGGATCACCAGCCTGGATTCGTCTAGGATTGGAATGTCAGCCTCTGGAAAGTCAAAACAAACTTCTTGAAAATTTCGATTGACAGGACCGTCGCGATTGTTCGAGTTTGGGACATTCACCTTCGTAAATATAAAAGCCGAAGACTTTAATATTTTAGTGACTTATAGTCTGTGCTTACTCAAAGTGGACCAAGCACAAGGCACACGTAAATTATGACGTCTGGACATTAGTATTCGAAAATAATAATGCAAAGGCAAAATATTCCAAAGACATAAAGCATGTTACAATAGGAAACCTATTAGAACGGAGATAAAAAAATATATTCAATATTGTTTGAGAGAGGAATAGTGATTATTCTAGTGATTAGTAATAATCGTGCTAAGAATAGCACGATTATTTCAAGAGTGAGAGACGTAAACTAGCTGGCGAACATTAGTAAAAGTGGAAGGGAGAAACTCTGAATTACGGAACGACAAGGAAAGTGTAAAAAGGAAAAGAAAGAACACATGAAAACAAATTTACAAACAGTAGCATTTAATTTCCAAGGGAACGGAAAGTTTAGGATTATTCCCCAGAAGGGAATAAACTCTCCGAAATATTTCAGGAATGAAAATCAACGATAAAAGATATTAAGCTTTCTACGATACGGGATTTTTTAAATTTCCATTTTAAGAGGCAGCATTTCTATTTGTATTTATCTGAATTTCAATATTTTTTAAACAAATATTTTGTGTTAAATCCTGAAGATGATTAAATCTGGCGTTGACCTGATGAAGGCGCATGTTGATCTCTTCCCACTGACCAATTGAAGCCTTGAACACTCCACTTGGAGGTCCTCCATGTATCTATTCGGATATAATGGAAGCTTCAGAGGGCCTATTGATCCATACCTTACCTACGCTTGAAGCATTCCCTTGATCCCTCGTCTTTGATGTTACCCGGTAATTCAGTCTGTAACACAACATCCCTATTTCAATACATATATTTACCCACGTCTTTTCTAAAACTAAATTCTACCAATTCGTTCTCTCTTTTTGTGTGTGTGTGTGTGTGTGTGTGTGTGTGTGTGTGTGTGTGTGTGTGTGTGTGTGTGTGTACTCACCTAGTTGTGCTTGCGGGGGTTGAGCTCTGGCTCTTTGGTCCCGCCTCTAAACTGTCACAACTGTGTGTGTGTCCTGTTTTGTGTTGATATTTTCAACACGTTAATAATATATATTTTGTTGCATTTTATCTATCTGCGTCATAAACAAACATTATTGTGATTATTATTAATTTTATTTTTGATATTATCTAGTCTACGTAAATATATTGAAACATCTGGAGGGTAAAGAAACAGTTTGATCACATAATCTTTGCATTTTGTTTGGGATCTTAAGTGATTAAATGGAAAGATTAAGCGTTTCTTCACACTCCAGATGGTAGAAGATATTTATGTAGAATGGAAAATATCCAAAATAATAGTTATTAATAGTCACATTGCTATTGTGTTTAAGGAGATGTGTGTGTTAGAGAAAACTTTCTCTAAAAATATACTAGCTTATATATACCTTAAGATCCCTACTAATCATGACGGTCAGATTCCTTTCGTATTCAGATTAGGTAATTTCACTACTGACCATTGAATAATATGGTGACCATATTATTCAAGGTGGACGAGTTTTTTCACGTAGACAGCATCATTTTTTTCATTTCGAGGTCCAAACTCTTCAAAGCAGTTATCCTATTTGTCAATATAGACGGGATATTTTTCAAAATAGGGGTCATATTTTCCCCAAAATGGACTCTATATGCTTCAAGATACATGCCATATTATTTAAGGTTTAGGGATTATTTCCCCAGGGTTGAACGCCATATTCTTCAAGATAAACGCCATATTCTTTAATACGACATAACCACTAAGAACCCCCAAGCACAGCTGTGCATCAAAACTGTAAGTGCAGCTGCTCGAGCGTGGAGCAGCCAGCAGTTGGAAGGATATATTAGATATTTTACCCACCATTACCAGCACAGTTATATAGAAATAGTGATCTAATTTGTAACAGAATAATGGAAAGAAAATGGGAATGTGTGTGTGTGTGTGTGTGTGTGTGTGTGTGTGTGTGTGTGTGTGTGTGTGTGTGTGTGTGTGTGTGTGTGTGTGTGTGGATGTTCGGAATAACGTGTACGTTTCTGACAAGACAATTGGTACACAATTTCTGAAAACAAAAATCGAAAGAATGAACAGTAAACTGGAGATTTCATGTCTCCCTCGAAGTTTTTATGAGACAGAAATACCCATAGACACCATTATATCCGCCAACCAGGGTATGGCACCATTAACGTCGCCAGCCAGGGTATGGCACCATTAACGTTGCCAGTTAGGGTATGGCTCCAAAGTCGTTCCGTTAATCCTAAGGATTGATCTCAACCCTTAATTAATCGGTCACCAGAGTCCATGAACTGAATTTCTCCGGAGGCTAAATATAAATATTATTATTATTATTATTTATATTAATTCTTTTGTTACTTTTATTGTTTATATTGATTTATTTGCTGCTGTTGGTTTTTTCAGGTTTATTTTTATGTTCTTTGAGGTCTGCTCAAAGTAGGAGGCTAGATGCTTGGGGCTAGTGTCGCCAAACTTTGCAAGATGACACATGAGAGGGTATGAGTATTATTGGCCAGCCGGGGTGGGCCCAAGTGCCAAAGTTTTGAGAAATCTCGGCCTCTTTAGTGACCTCCATTATGATTTTTTCATGGTCTGAAATCGGATATGTGCTTTCAGCAGGATTTCCAGAGCTCCGTAATATTTAATTTTTGGAGAGAGAGAGAGAGACAGCGAGAGAGAGAGAGAGAGAGAGAGAGAGAGAGAGAGAGAGAGAGAGAGAGAGAGAGAGAGAGAGAGAGAGAGAGAGAGAGAGAGGGAAGATTGAGATGGGGGAGAGAAGGAAGATGTTAGGAAAGAGAGAAGGATAGGAGGTGGAGAGCAAAGTAGAGAGAAAGAGAGGAGGTGGAGAGCAAAGTAGAGAGAAGGAGAGGGTGGAGAGAAGGTTAGGAGTTAAGGGAGAAAGGTAGAGAGAGTGGGAAAGGGGAAGGGAGGGGAGAGAGGGGAAGATGGAGAGGAGTCAGACCCAAGCACAGCCGGGTACCTGATTTAGTATATTGCATATCCTGACTTTTATTTTATAGTTTTAATCGTCACAATAATCGCTTCAACTCTCTCCTTCCCTTCCTTCCTGCCCCTCTCCCTCTGCCTTCTCCCATCCCTTCTAGGCCCTTTTCCTCCTTCCCCGTCTCTCCCACTTTTTCTCCTCCTTCCCCCACTCCCTCTCTTCTCTTCCTTCCGTCTCTGCCTTCCACTCCCTTCTTTTCTCCCTCCCTCCCCTCTCCCCCTACCTCCCTCAGTTCCCAAGATAAGCAAAATTATTCAGAAGAGTATAATTAGGTGTAAATGACAGAGAAAAATTCAATTAGCCTCTGTTTCTGCCTGTGTCGCCAGACTCTGGCCGGATGGAATGGTTTTTATGAGGCTCTGAGGTCAGGCTTGAACCGGAGGAAATGATTATTCTTAGATTGTGAGGTCATGTTGTCTGGAAAAGATTATATTGTTACAGTATTGATTGTTGTTTGATATGGGCAGAGATGGTTTCGGTAGGGGGTTGCTTGGGAGAGTGGTTGTTGGAGGAGGGATTGTTGGGGGAGAGATTGTTGGGGGAGCGATTGTTGGGGGAGAAATTGTTAGGGAAGAGGTTGATTCATCCTCCCCCCTCCCAACTTGTCCCAATTGCACCCACACGAGAACCCTACGACAACCAAACCTAAATTCCTATTACACCTCAATCTACCCTCTTCTGTGATAGCCCCCCATTCTCATCTACACCCCACCCAGCATCACTTAAAACCTCACCCACCCACTTTTGCATCGCCACGCTCCCTCTGACACCCATTCCAAGCCAGTTCGGCAACACCATCCACATCCACCCTATTCGCCCACACCACCAACACCCAGTTTCAACACCCACACCTTTTCCAATCCAATCTAATCGTATACAACCCACCCGGCAACTAAAATGCATTCCGTACCGCCCTCGGAAGCATCTCATAAGGGGCCCACAAGCTGAGAATTGCTGCAAATAGCGATTGGATCTTACCGCAGCGTAGCAGGAGAGAAGTTCCTACCACCAGCCCGGGTCTGCCAGCAATCGCTTCAATCAGACCTGGGAGAATTTTGATACAATGGTGGCTTTCTGTGTGTTTTTTTAGCTATTCATTTCTGTTTCGATTGCTTTATGGGCTGGTGCTGGAATGGTGGGTTTTTTTTAATGTCTGGGATGATTTAATGTGCATGGGAGTGGAGTGCATGAACAGGTTTGAGTGCATGGGAGGTTTTTGTTAGCGTGCGTGTGCGCCTATTGTTTACGAATGTATGTTTGTATATGCTAAATTCGTTGATGCTTTTTATGAAATGCGTTAGTTTAGATTTTTCATTTTCATTATATATATGACATATGTATGTATGCACGTATATATGAATGTTTGTATGCATGCACGTAGATACAAAATGCGAGAATAACTCGCTTGAACACAAGTGGGTGACACTAACAACACTAAAAAAAAAAAACATTTGAGAGAATGTCTTTCTCGGGATCTCAGTAGAAAGTGTTTCACTCTTGAGGAGAGATGGGCTTCGTTAGCGAGAGTCACGGATGTGTACGAACGCCTGCACACTCATCCACACGCACTCTCATACACACGCACTCGCGTGAGTCGGACAGGGGAAAGGGGGGGGAACCCACACATAGGTTCCACCTTCCTACCGAATTAGG